CATTTTCTGTTGGTAGAAAACCCTCAGAGGAAAAGCTGAATGCCCTTGCAGCGTGGTCCGCGGGGCGCTTCTAGGTGCTGTAGACTTGGCTCTACCTCCTGGCCACCTCCTGTATAACACGAGGAAACATCACCCAAGTCTGCCCCAGCTTCATGGTACCCGCTGATACCCGCCCAGCCTGGGTGATTTTGCTAGAATTTTAAACCCTGCCGCGATAGCGTTCATAGCAACGTGCAAACCGTTCTCATAGACAAATACGGCTCTGTAGTTTGACCACAAATGCTCTGTGTTGTTGTCAGGTGTGACCCAGTTGGTCCTGGCTCCTGACGACCATGCTCACAGCAGAAGGAAGCACTCGCTGGGCTGCGCCATCCTCACATTGTTCCTGCGTTTGGATGCGTGGTTTTAGCCTCTGTGTCAAGCCATGTCCTTGAGGGCTGTACCGCTTGTCACTGCGCCTCTGCCTTCTCTGGGGACCAGTCTCTCCTGACACATGTCCAAAGTATGTACCATGTCCAAACTATCCTTGCCTCTAAGGAGCAATCTGGTTGTACTTCCTCCATGATAAATTTGCTTGTCCTTTTAGTAGTCCACAGTACTCTCAAAGTTCTTCTCTGGCGCCACAACTCAGATGCATTGATTTTCCTGCTGTCTTCCTTACAAATGGTCTCCAAACACCACTCTTTACATTTTATCTTTAAGCTCATAACTTTACATTTTACCTCGAAGCCCATTTATTTTTAATAAGAAAAATTTGAGCCCACCAAAGGAGAAAGCACAAAGCGATCATTCCCTGAGAGAACCGCATCTCTTAGATGCACATTTCTTTCATTATGCTACTTGCGCATCTTGTTCTACTTGTCTTTGGTCTTTTCCACAAAGTTGAAAGTCCGAGCAGCGTGGCCCATTTTCAGGTTCCAACACATGACTTACTTATTTCTGATTCTTTACCTAATTATATTGGTCTCACTTCTTCCACATTCGTTACGATGGAAGCTGTATCGATCATGCAGATGTTATCTCCAGGTCTGTCCATTTCCTGGAGGCTGTAGGAGCATCAAGCCCCACCGTTTTGTGAAAGCCTCCTCACACAGACTCGGCAGCAGCACCTTCTGCTTGGGGCTGTGCCTTCTTTTCATGATAAGCCTAGCTGTGTTTTCAGTGTGCCACCCTTCACCAGCTCTGGGTCACGCAGGTACTAAATATTTTGCTGAGTAAAATATGTAGGATATATGTGAAATACGTAGGTGGAAATCGGTTTATGTTCCACCTGGTCTGGTGATAGTTACTATGAACAACCACCCAAAGGAAATGACCCGTTAAGCTCCACAGCAGTACTGCAGCCATTGCTTGAGGCTGTAGCACATTGCTACCATTCAGAATCGCCTGGCTACTGTTCTACAGAGTCGGCATCTACCTCCTTATTTGTTGTCCTTCTTCTTTTTTAAACAGTAAACAAAACCCCCTTACCATTGAGCCGATTTTGACTCATAGGGACCCTCCAGGACAGAGAAGAACGCAGGGTTCCCAAGGCTGGGGTTTTTGCAGAAATAGAGGGCCACATTTTCTCCTGCGAAGCAGCTGGTGGGTTAGAATGGTTAACCTTTCCTGTAATAGCTGTTTGCTTCTCCAAATAGCCTGTCCCATCAAGTGTAGCGGAGGTAGGGAACGCTCTTTCACAGCACAGAACACGCACTGATGTAAGAGGAGCCATATGCCACTGACAGAGCTTTTAGGAATCATAGCATTGCCTCAGCATTTGAATTTCACTAAAACAAAAGCAAAATGTCAAATATATAGAAAATGGACAACTCTATTTCAGTGCATTCTAGTTCTAGTTGATTTATATGTTACATTGCTCCTAGAGATTCTAAATCATTTTCACAGCATGTTGTGTTATTATCTTCTTTTGAAGTCTAAACATATTTATGAAATGAAAATTAAACAAGACTTGCTCACATTAGGTTGCTTTCTCTAAAGCCTTCCTTCTACCTGGGTTTCATTAGATGAGACCCTTTCATATTCAAAACTATTTTTCTTTTATGAAAGCATAATTTATCCAAATAATGGGAATAGCTTTGACTAGAGTGTTTTCACATAGTGTTATTAATTCTTTTTTTGCTATTTTATCTTAAAACATTTAAGTGCCATCCTAGCCCCCTCTCGGGGACTGACTATATCCGCCCAAGATGCATCAACTGCTAACTGAAAGGTTGGCACCAGCTGCCCTGTGGGAGAATGACCAGGCTCTTTATTCCCGCACAGTTACAGCCTCAGAAACCCACAGGGGCACTTCTAATCTGTCTGATGGGTCACTATGAGTTGGCATGACTGGATGGCAGTGAGTTTGGTTTTCTTGTTCTATATGGTAACGAGGCAGGATCCCTGTAGGCTATCTATTGAGACACAGACTAAGAAGAAGGGAGGAGAGAGACAAGCCCTATATTTCCTTCCTCAAGTCACACCTTGATCGTAGAAGAACTTGAGTCACACCTCTTAGCCCAAAAGAGATAGAAGAAAGCGGGGAGCAGAGGAACCTCACTACCTCCCAGCAAGAAGAACCACAAGTGAACGGAGTCCTTTGAATCTGGGGTCTCTGCTCTAGAACCTCCTAGAGCCTGGGGAAGACAGATGCCAAGACATCCATGGAGATCCCCAAGGAACAGCAGGCCAACAGAGGTTGAAAAGAGCTGGAGACCCTCTCCCAGAGGCAACAGAGTGAAAGTCCTCCTCCAAAACCAGTGTTTTCCATTTGGACTGCTAGTCCTAAACTGTGAGAAACTAAACGTATGTTCAGCAAAGCCATCCACTTGTGGTATAAATGTGAGAGAGACAATAGATAACTGACACAGGTATTCATTTATTGCATTAAATATTCAGAATAACTAATGAGTGAAAATGTGATTCTTTTATCATGTTCATGTTACAATTTCATAATTGTTTTATTTTCCCCAGAAGCATACTTGGAGTCATCTGGGAAGTGAAAATACCAGGGGGGTTCCTGAATGCTCATTTTAGTTTCCAATTCTCTTTTGTGCACGAATGGCTGCCAAGCAGTCTCTGCTTTGCATACCTTTTAATCTTGGAGTTTAGAGAATTGTTTTCTTTTTCTTTCTGGTCCCTCCCCCCCTTCCCCCCCCCTCCTCCTAAGTCCTTCTCTTCACAAGGAAGCCAGAAGTGTGACAGGAAGGTGTGATTTTTAATTTACACCAGAGTCTCGCAAATAATGACTTTTCACACCCTACTCTGGCTGCTTAGCCTCGGGAGGAGTTCAGTGGCTACTGTTATGGGAGCACCTTAAACCCACCACTGCAATTCTGCTCAGCAATTCTCTCTTCTATATTTAACCCTTCTTTCCAATGTTTCCACTTGGCATTTGTGAATAGTTCTGAGAATGTGGCTCGTTGCTTTGAAGTACATTTGTTTTCTAGGAAATGATTTTTGAGGGCGATTATTTTTTCATAGTGTAGTATGAAATGGTAAACATGGAATCATTCCGGCCGTGCCACAGGACAACTGTAACTTATTCAAAGACTCTCTCGTGAAGTCCATAGTAGCGTTTGTTTTTAGAACTTCTGGCAGTGACATTTAAATATAAGATCTAAAAATGTGTGTCTTCCCTTATGATTTCATTTCTCCAAAAGCTTTCTCCCGTCTCTCTAGAAGCGTCAGTGTCTTCCTTTACAGATAATGCTCTGTCACTGTATATTTTATGTGGCAACATGAAATTGAAAGTGATGCTAAAAAAGTTCAGTGTTTTAAAATGGTCCGTTTACCTCCAATGAATGGCATGTTTTGGATTGCATGAAACAAACAAGGTTGAGCTGTCTAAGGGGAAGGGAGAAAATCGTTCTTGAAAGTGATACATTTCTCTTTCGTTTCTTAAGCCAGCAGAGAAGAGGAGTGGGCATACAATCCTGGAATAAGTAAGGGATTTATTTTGCTAGCCCTTCCTATACACTTTTCACTTAGACAATCAGCAAAGCACATTCTTTTTCCATTTTGAATCTCCCTGATTTTTCTTTTTAAGTTTTCCATGGACTTGGTAGTCTTTCCTAGTTATCTTACCTATCCTAACAAACCAGACTCATCGCCAATTCCTTATCACAGCGCTCAGTAGAGAGCGATCTGGAATGGAATGGAATTTGTCGCAGTACTATGCAAAAGGAAAAGACAGAACAAGATGAAGGAAAAAACGGAGGCATGGGCCTCTCCTCAGAGCTTCAAGCAGGGGTTGGTCAGATTCAACCCCCTGCTGAGAATTTATATTTCTACCCTGAGACACGGACTCTGAATCTACATTGTAAAAGAATCCCGGGGTGGTTTAGAGGATGAGTCACTACATCTGTCTGGTGTGGGAATGCAAATTTTCACCTGGAGGGTCAAAACCCTGGCTCCTGCCGTGCCCTCTCAAAGGCAAAATTCCTGGCTCCTGCCTTGCCCTCTCAAAGGCAAAGCAATCTGAAGTAACATCTTTCCTCTAGCCGGAAAGTAGCAAGGGGTTAACCAGCCTCGGTTTACTGAGTGTCTCTGTCAGGCTTTTATCTGATCCTTCTTCTCTCTCTGTCCTGCCCACCCCTTTTGTAAATGTCAACCACTTCCTGATGAGCCTGGTAGTGGTGAATTTCACACCTTTCTTTTCTTTGTGAAGAAACCGGGTGTTAATGGTACAGGATTGGGTACCATTGTATGGCGGTGGCTGTCTGTTCCTGAAGCGGAGGAGGGATGCCTGTGGAGAAAAAGTAGGAGAAGGTGTAGACATTGGAGAAGGGAGCCTAGGACACAGGTGAAGCTTTGCCTTGTTTATTGAGTATTTGTTTCATGAGCCACTTTTTTTGTTTTCAAAAAATAGTCGTTTTAAAGAAGCTCAAGATCAAGCCTATAAAGGAGTCTGGCAAAGAAGGGGACTGAATTAAAAAGCTGATTGATGAAAGAGCAGCAGTCCAAGCAATTCTGAAGATTCTTTGTCTGGCCTTTCTATTCTACAGGTATCTTTACGGGATAACACAATGGAAACCTGGTCAGTGGGTCAGGTCTGCAGCTGGTTGGTGAGGAAGAATTTAGGAGAATTGGTGCCCAGGTTTCAAGGTGAGTTGTTTACGCTTTCAATTGAGCAGGCTGGATAGCCACAGTGTCCTCCGTTACTGAAAAGCGCTCTCTCTGCCTGATGTCTCTGTGCTTGTGAACTGTGGAGGTCCTGTGGTTGCAGTAGGGAACTTCCTTCTTTTTTTAAAAAAGTGTGTAACAGAGTTGATTTGACTTAGCATCGACAGAATATAATCTCTCAAAAATAACTCAGAATAAAATACTAAGATAGCTTTAGGAGCCCTGTTTGAGACATGCACTTGGTATTGCTTTTGCTCTTAAGCATATGTTGGATTGAGTGTTAGAATGACAAATATAGAAGATTGGCTAGAAAGTACTTGTAAGAATTATTTACCAAGATTTTGTGCCTTCCCCCATTCCCCCCTGCCCTCCCCCCCTTCCTTACAAAACAGTGCCTGTGTGGGGCAGAATCAGAATGGAGAAGGCATTTCATGTCAAAGTTGATCCTGTGGATTGTGACTGCATGTCCTGGTACGTCCTTAGGAGCAGGTGTAGACGTGGAATTATGCAACACGCGCTTCATCTTTATGAAAAACACAGGGACTGTAGTAGAGGAGAGGGTTAGATGGGCCTTTACCACCAGGAGTGGTTTTGCCTGTGTTTGGTAATTCTTAGGGGGCAGCGTGTAGAAATATTTCCCCCTCTTTTTTCCTTTCAGAGGAAGAAATAAGTGGTGCCGCTCTCCTAGCCCTTAACGATCGCATGGTTCAGCAATTGGTAAAGAAAATTGGGCACCAGGCTATTCTGATGGATCTAATTAAAAAATATCAGCAGAGCAGTCAAGAACTGAAACCCCCTGGGAGCCCCAGAGAAAGCGCCCTGCTAAGAGGAAGAGAAAGAGCCCCAGAGTAAGTATGATGACCACGGGCCTGCTTTAGGGTCCGTGCATGTCCCACGGCCTTTCGTCAGAAGGGACTGTGGACTTGGGAATCTACAGCTCTTTGGAAACGTTAAGCATTTCCAGAAATGTGTGTAAACGTCACTTTTGCAACATTTTAGTGCATTTCATGCAAAATGTATATTTTTTTAATAGGAGGGGTTAACACTTACCTACCCCGTTGTAAACCCTCTTTTCAATTGTTGGGGCAGCTCTGTAAGTAGGGCATTCACATGCCAAGTGCAGCTGAAATACAGAAACAAACGTGGAAATGGACTCCTGAAGCTTTGCTTTACAAAGAGAGAGTTTGGTAAAAGCATTTGTGGCTGGTCTTTTGTTTTTCCCAGAACTCTTTATCTATCACCTCTCTATCTAGATCAGGCCACCTTTCTTTTCTTTCTTTCTTTCTTTGTACTAAGGAATGTGTCTTGTCCTCTTCAGCCAGTTACAATGTAATTTGCCAAATACCCCGTGGCAACAAATTTTCTAATTTCTTAACAGTATCCTTGGAATGCTAAACCAAAGGTGCGATAGCATCTTGCAAAATTTATGTAGAAACATGTGTGGTGCCAGGTTAAAAAACGTTAAAATTTGGGGGTATTTTTATTTGTTTTTATCACTGAGTTGTACAACCAAAAGGAATGGTGCCAGGAACTATAAAGTAAAACATTCCACCAAAATCTGCCCTAGGCACATTTCAGCCTTATGTATTTGAGATGTTTACAGGGTTTCTGTCCTTATTAGGTGTGACGAAGTCGATTCAGACTCATAGTGACCCCTTGTGACAGAGTAGAACTGCCCCCATCAAGCTTTCTTAGCTAGAATCCTCATGAAATCCAGCCTCCAGGTCTTTCTTCTGCAGAAAGGCTCATGGATTCAGACCTTCACCTCTCTCCATCATCCCTGTTGCAGACCAGGGCTCTTTTTTGGTTGCTTCGGTTACAGGGTTTCTAAGGTTACAGAATTATTACAGCTCAATTACTCAGAAATGTTTCAATAATAATGTGGTATTTATGAAATCCATTGTATCCATTTACTTTAATTTCTTTAGATACCTTTAATAACGTATGTCTTCTCCTTTGCTTTGATAAGCCATAAAATGCTCAAAATTTGGCTTATATACTGGGGACTCTAGCACCTGATTTATTTAAGGAAATTCTCCTACACTTTGTTTTGTCTGGGCAGTGGTTAAGCAATTGGCTGCTCATCAAAGGTCCACAGGATTAGCTCACCAGCGGCTCTGGGGGAGAAAAACGGGGCAGCCTGCTTCTGTAAAGGTTACAGCCTTGGAAACAGGACGGGGTGGATCAACTTTGTCCTTTAGGATCACCGTAAATCAGAATCAATTGGACCTCAATAGATTTGGCTTTGGGGGTTTACATCAAGGGTAGGCAACTTTTCCTGTCAGGGACCATTTGGGCATTTATAATGTCATGCAGGGCCCATACAAAATTATCAAGTTAAATGTAGCTTGCTCTACTGTATCAAACATTTCATTAGCTCACCCCTATTATGATGACCGGAAATGCTTCTCTGTGATAAGGCATGGGACGTTAGCTGGTATTTTTTCAAGGACTTCATATGGCTGCAAACTGCAAGGCCAGCAGTTCAAAACCACCAGCTATTCCTCAGGAGGAAGACGGGGCTTTCTACCCCTGTAAAGAGTTAGAGAAAGTTGTACCCTATCCTCTAGAGGTGTTAGGGGTCAGAGTGGACTCAATGGCAAATGAGTTTGGATTGGTGATATGGCTCAAGGGTGGGATACCCCCACCCCTGCTTTATACCCTGCTTTATATAAAAGCACACACTGCTACACAGACTTGGTTTGCTTTGACCTCTTTCCACCGATGGGACAGTGCGAACCTCCAAGAGTGCTCAATGTACTTTCCCAGCATTCCTGGCAGAAGAGTGCTTTTGAGCTACCTGCTCTCTTCCGTTGGCTGGAATCTTGACATTCTCTTCGATTGGCCTGAGGTACATACAGATTGGAAGAAAACAGTGGGCCTGGTTTCCACTGCAAATCAGTTTATAATGTTCTCCAGTCAATGAGAACTGGCTGGGGGGCTGGCCTTCAGTCCTGCCCCCCACCACTGATTGCACTGACTAGATTAAATGTTGCCATTACTGTGCCTTCATATGCAGGTACTATGGCTGAAAAATCATACAGTACCTAATTAATTATACAGTACCTAAAAATCTTACAGTACCTAATTAATCCATATTCATTCACACAGTCGTTATGAGTGCTTAATACAATATTTCCTTCTAGACCCAATAGTTTTGAGTTAAATATTAAACTTGGTTAACCTGGTCAAGGAAACCAGCTTCAAAGCTAACCTAAATGTGGAGCACAGGTTGTCCAGACGCTGATGAGAAGGGGCTATTTAACTCCACCCAGTAAGTAGCGGGCTCACTTGTAAGATTATTTTGTCTTGCATGCAGGTGAACTTGTTGCAGTGTGCCCTGGTGGTGCAGTGGTAAAGCAGCGATAACGGAAGGTTAGGTGGTTTTAAAGACCAGCCTATTGGTGGGAGACAAACATGGCAATCAGCTTCCACGGACAGTTACAGCCTTGCAAATCCCGTGGGGCACAACACTGTTCCACAGGGTCACTGTGAGTCAGAATCCACGCCGTGACCATGGATTTGGCTCTTTGGTTTGCTTTATTGCGGTGTCAGATCACAACCACAGATGGGATGGGAATGCTTCTTTGATATATCATATCGATCGGGAGGTCATATTCTACTGGGTGGAAGGAGAGAGAAGGAGACATGAGAACACACTGTTCAATTAAACCCTTTGAGAAACAACTTAATAGAGACAAGCCACTTGGCATGTGGTAGAAAGAACGCTGAACCTAGGCATCAAAATAACTGACATCAAACCCGGATCTGCCTAAGCATGGAGATCGTGCTTGGAGTTTCCTCATCTGCACACTGAAGTAGGTGCAATGAACGGTGTCCAATATGACCCTTCTAAAAGGCCATCACGGCATTACAGGTCTGGCAGATGGGTTTCAACTTGAGTGTAATTCCATTTATTGGCTAATTATTGTATGGTATGTTATTTTGAAAAGGATTTGTAGGCTAAATCTCATCAAGAAGCCCTGAGGGTGATGTGGGTGAGGCACTAGGCCGCTAACAACAAGGTCGGTGTTTCAAATCTACCAGTTGCTCTGCAGGAGGACGATGAGACTGCAGGCCCCCATAAAGATGGACAGACTGGAAACCCTCGATAGGGTCACGGTGAGTTGGAGTCGAGTTGGTGGCAGTGCAGACTTGGGTAAATTGTTGGAATATGTTGCAATGTATTTACGGTCACATTTTTGATGGTTGGCAAAACTGGTAGAAAACATATTGGGTGTGTGTTAGACAGGGTTCTCTAGAGAGATAAAACCAGATTGCTGATAATTTTATGTATATATTTATAAAGATAGATATATATAACACAAGAAATGAACTGTTATGTTATAAAGAGATAGATATATGACACAAGAAATGAACTATTGAATTATAAACAGATATATAATACAAGAAATGAACAGTTAAATTATAAAGCAGTACAAATGACTCAGTGCAACTCACTCCCGTGAGAGAGTTGTGAGACACTGGCAGTCCTTCAAGTCTTGAGGGCCACCTGGGTGTCCCCTGTAGAGAGAGCTAGGCTATCCCAGCACAGGCAGCAAAACAGCAAGGCGGGTCACCAACTGTCAGTCTCCAGCTCAAGAGATGTAAATTTCAATCGTGTAGTCTTAAAGGGACCTCAACTTGCAGCGACACAGTCCACAGACTAGGCATCCCACAGGTAGTGGAGCCTGTAAATTGAGGCACAGAACAAGCAAGGCAGCCGCACACTGGTCTGATGATCAAAGAGCAAGAGACAAGAAAGGCGAGGCTCACTGAACCATTTATCTCTCCGCCCTTCAATTAATCCCACTTGTGTTTATCAGCCAGGATGGCACAATAAACTATCTCAATCCACCCCTTGCCAACCTGGCACCTGTGCACAATTCTTTAGCCATATATACTTATGTAATTTCCAGACATTGATGAAATCACACTTATACTTATCATCAATCATCTATCATACATATAAATGAAACCACACTGAGTCAAATTGTATCTGATATATCATACCTGAACAAAGGAAAGATATGCAATAAGCACATAAAAAGAAAATACATTGACAGTTACAAGCCTCGCTTTTGCAATTGATTACGTGGTCATAATTGCTAGGTAGAACTACCTTCTTCTACTACCCATTCTGTATTACCTTTGCCCTCAGCAAGCACCTCAGTTGGCACAATAAACTATCGCAGGGTGGAAATCAGGAGAATTAAGTCAAGTCAGAGTTGGTGGGGGTGGGGGAGGGGGGCGGTCGGTCATAGATGTACCCATGTTGTTGTTCCAAATTAGAATATTAACCAATAAGTCATTTGTCAGTGTCATTTCATAAAGAAAAAGATCGTCCTGGCAGTACAGAATGTAGGGGGGACTGGTGAAAACAGCATTTGTGAGCTGACAGCTGGGAACAACGGAGCAAGACGCCCTTGGAGGGGCCTCCGTGGAATTCTCGAGTCAGGAGTCTCATGTGGGGTTTGCAAGTGAACACAGCCCACAGTGTTTGTTCGGGCGGATGCTGCCTGCAGGGTGGCAGCAGGATCACTGGCTGATCCTGTTGACCAGTGACTGCATGGACCCACCCCTTGGCTGGCGCCAGGTCACCCCTGACCTACAGTATTACTTTTCTTACAGCGGGAGCGAGCAGTTCTCCAGCCCAGCTGATGGCAGGGAGCACATGCCTTCTTTTCATCCAGCGGAAAACCTTGGCAATGGACTGATTGACCAAAGAGTCCTGAAACAGAGGTGGGGGTCCCGGCTTTAAACATTTCAAAGTTAAATATTTTACTTATTGATCTACTGACTAGTTCATTGTTTCGAAGTATTTCTAAAAGGAAACTTGGTTCTCCTGGAAGATGTGTCTATGTTAGAGTCAAGTGATTAAAGGTGAAGGGGTGAAGATATCTGATGAAGAAAAGGGGGTGGGGGGGAAAGAACGTTAAATATTCTGATCTTTGTTTGGGGGAAAATGACATTTTATGTCTTTCAAGTACATGTTGTTACAGAAGAAGCGGATTTCTTTGTTGCAGATGTTCGCCTTGGTTGGTAAGAGCCACAACAATGGAATTTGTTCAGCGAATGGCCTTTCCTTTAGCGTTTGCCTTTGGTGTGGAATCTTTTTGTTAGTGATTTTTTTCATTGTTCTTACTATTTTGCTTACCATTTTCTTTATGTTCCTACACTAGTTTATATGCCGTGTGCTGTTCCGTGCATTCGGCTGCATTGAAACAAAGGATAACTCTCAAGTTAGAGGACCAGATAAAGGACAGTGGGGCTTCGACAAAGCCCTGAAGATGATGGTCAGAATGACCATTTTGGCCCAGGTGCCACCGCAGCCTTGAGGGCAGTGCGCACTCACCCAGCCCGAGTGCAAACTATCCCTCATATTGCTTTCAGCCTCTCGTGAGCACAAGCTTTTCTTTAATGAGCTTTTGCTTTACTTACTTCATAGCTAAGCTTGTTTTTGGGGTACCACCTGTAGTGAGCTAACATTCACAATGCCATACAGCTTAGGCATCTGTATTAGTCTGGGTACTTTAGAGAAACAAATCCACAGCAACTCATGTATAAGAGAGAGTTTTATGTAAAGAAAATGTGCATCACGAAAACATCCCAACCCAATGCTGCCCAAGCCCACAAGTCCAACATTAACCCATTAACCCAACACCAGTCCACAAAGTCCTCCACCTCACAAAACAGAGACAATGATGCGGACTGGAGGAGGAAAGCTGAGTCAGTGAACAAACAAGCATCTCAGCACTAGCAGGGGTCTCCACACGGCTGCTCCAGCACCCAGGGCTACATCGGGATAGGTCCATGTAGCTTCTCCTTGGGGATGTCTTGTAGGAAGTCAATCTTGCAAGCTGAAGCAGGGAGCTGCTAAAGCAGCTGCACCCTGGTGCGACCATCACGAAGTAAGAGACCCGAGAACTAGAAAGGCGAAGCTCACCACCCATTTATCCCTCTGCCTTTCAATTAGTCCCACATGTGATTATCGGCCAGGCTGGCACAATTAACTAACTCAGCATCTACAGAACACGATTAAGTGGCTTTTAGTATAGTCAGAGTTGTGCACCCACCACCATTATTAGTTCTATGGCATTTCCATCAACTAATGAAGAAACTTGCACCCCGTCATAGTCACTCCCCATTCTCCTTCTCTCTAACCCAGGACAGGAACTGATCCACTTTCTTTTTCTGTGGGTTTGCCTGCTCTGTACATCGCATGTAAATGGAATCATACAGCTTGTCATCTTGGTGACTGACCACTGTCACTGTACAACGTGGTTAAGGTCCATCCATGTTACTGGGTAGTTCAGTACTTCCTTTTTTATTGACAAAGAATATTCTATGGTATGGACATATCACATTTGTTTATCATCAGCTGGAGAATTTTGGATTATTTCAGGGTTGTTTTTGTTGTCGTTCTTAGGAATACTACTGCTATGAACTTTCATGCATGAGTTTTTGTGGAGACATGCTTTCATTCTCTTGGGCATATGTGGAATTGCTGGTTCATGTGATAACTGTGTAAATCGGTCTTTCAAAAAAATGTTAAATCATTTTATTAGAGGCTCATACAACTCTTATCACAATCCATACATACATCAATTGTGTAAAGCACATTTGTACATTCATTGCCCTGGAAACTGCTTTTATGAAAACATTCTCTGTGACCAGAGAGAACCTTTCTAGTCGATGGCATTGCCACTAGTTGCATTAACTCAGATTACGTTGCTCGAAGCTTGCGGAGACGGAACAATTCGTATTATGAAAGCTCTGCCCAACAGAGCTTTTTTCTGTTGTCTTTTTTTGGGGGGTGGGGTGGGGTAGGTACCCCCTGTATGCTTTTTTGATTATAGTCACCTAACCAAAACCCACTGTCATCCAGTTAATTACAACTCATAAAGATCCTAGGTAGACAGCCTTTCCAAGGCTTTGTAGATATGAGAGAAGACAGCCTCATCTTTTTTCTAAGGAGTGGGTGGTGGGTTTGAACTGCTGACCTTGAGGTTAGTCAACACCACCAGAGATCCTTACAGCCAGTCTCATGGTTATGAAAAGGTGCCCGGGTGTTGCTGTGGGTTAGCTGCTGGGAGGCCAAGTGCAAGGTTGGCAGTTCAAATCCACCAGCCACTCCCTAGGAGAAAGAGGAAAGATTTAGAGTCTCAGACACCCAAAGAAGCCGTTCTACTCTGTCCAATAGAGTCAGTAAGAGTTGGAATCAACCCAATCGCTGTGGTAACTATAATGGTGATGAAGTGGAATTTCACTGCAATTTTGAATTGTTTTCCTGGTGGCTACTGATGCCAGGATCTTTGCATGTGGTGATGGTTACCTGTGTATTTCCTTTGAAGAAATGTTGATTAAGATCCTTTGCCCATTTAAAATTTTATTTATGTGCCTTTTTATTGTGCATTGAAAGAATTATATATTTAGAAACAATCCCTCAGCTAATAGATGATTTGTAAATATTTTCTCAGTTGCGTGTCTTGCCTTTTTACTTTGCTATGGTGTCCTTTAAAGCATAAGCTTCAAGCTTCAATAAAAATCCTATGTATTTGTTGGTTATTTATTTTTGGTTTGAGGCCATGAAGATTTTTACCTCTTTTCTTTTGAGAGTCCAATTGTACTCTCTTTTACACTGGGCCTTTCACCCACTGTTAAATTAATTTTGTATGTGTCATGAGGTGAAGAGTCCAATTTCATCTTTTACACGTGACCATTGAGTTCGCCAAACTCCAGATGTGGAATAGACTATTCTTTCCCCCCATCGAATTGTTTTCAAAAACATTGCTGAAAAATCAATGGACTATAAATGTGAAAGCTTATGTTTGGACTCCTATTATGTTCCATTGATCTATGTGTCTGTTCGTAGTGAAGGAAAAGTACCATCATTTAAAGGAGCCATGTCAGCTTCCACAGGAGAAAGCAATTAGGCAAGGCTCATGCTAAGGCGCTATTATTGTTACAGGTTTCACACACTCTTTACACGGTCATCTCATTCGATCCACACCGCAGCCTGCAAGATGGGCTGTCTTCTCTCTCTTATCTTTCAATGAGCAAAAGTGACCTTCAGGTCCAAAAGCCAGAGCTAGTGATCCCAGAAGTTGTGTCTCACAGGGCCCACAATTTCTTGCTCGACCAATAAATTTACATATTGAAATTGATTACTGAAAAGCCTGTGTTCCCCCATTAGACTGCAAGAAACTCAAGGAAGATGGCACACCTTTCTCATCATCATCAATCCAACATTTGTCATAGCCCCTGGCACATAGAAGTTCAATACGTCCACTCTCACTGAGTCAGTTCTGACTCATAACAACCCCGGCTAGAGTTTCTGAGACTGTACAACATTAAGGAACTAGATAAGCCTCATCTTTCTCCAATGGAGTAGCTAGTGGGTTTGACCAGCTAACTTTGAGTTAGCAAGCCAGTGCTTAACACCCAACACCACTAGGGATCCTTTAGAGCAGCGGTTCTCAACCTGTGGGTTGAGACCCCATTGGGGGTCATACGACACTTTCACAGGGGTCACCCAATTCATAACAGTAACAAAGTTACAATTATGACATAGCAATGAAAATAATTTCATGCTTGGAGGGGGGCACCACAAAATGAGGAACTGCATTAAGGGGACACAGCATTAGGAAGCTTGAGAACCACTGCTTTAGAGGTTCGTTCAATAATCCACCCACTGCCATTGCAGCCACAACCCTAGATAGGATTTCATAGGCTGTATGTCTCCATGGGCTGTAAGCCTCATCTTCCCACACAGCAACTGGTGGGTTGAAACCATTAGCTTTGTAGTCAATAGCCCAATGCTTACCCAACCACGCTCCCGGAGCTAGGACTCAGTAATTCAATTGAACAAAGAAGGCCTGGGCCAACGAAAGGCTCAATATATTTTCAGGAAGCAGGGTAAATATTTTAATGGCATCACTTTCCTCGTACAACTTTTGATAAAATCAATTCTAAATAGACCCATTTCCTAAACAGAGTAAAACTCAGAAAAGAACGCAGTTATAAGCCACTCTCACAACATAGGCTTACAAGCTGCAGGTGTTTCGCAATGGGGATTTCATGAATCCAAGTGGTTTCCAGAAACGAGCCGAGTAGCGGCATCTTTGCCACTCCCATCTTTGCAGCATCATCCCTAGGTTTGACTCCAGACCCCTCTCCTTCTCCACATGCCAGCCAAGTGGTCCGTGGGGTTCAAAGGAGATCACATTAGCATGTGTGTGTGGGAAAACATGTGTAGACATACACTTTGTAATTTGTCCATTTTCAGGTGTACTATCCAGTGGCCTTATCACAGTCATGCTGTCCTACAACCCTTACCACTGTTGGATTCTTTCCTAAAGGATGTCATCACCCCAAACAGAAACCCGGCTTATTAAGCAATAACTAGTCCCCGCTTTTCTTTCAGTCCATGATTGCCCTTAATCTACTTTCTCTTTATATGGATTTGACTTTTCTAGAGATTTCAGATGAGTAAATCATATGATCTTTGTCCTTTTGTGTCAGGGGAGCCAGTCCCTAACAAATCATCACAGGCCCAGGAGGTGCAAATGTACAGCAACAATATATAAAGATTACAGTAAAATCATAGAGAATAAGAGACGTAGAAAAGTGAAATAAAGGAGTCAGACACATTTCATGGTAGCATGCTGACCTCAGCCCTGCTTGGTGGTCCATGTGAGGATGTGGAAGGTGGGAATGGCCGGGGAGAGAGAGAGATTTAT